CAGCGGACGGGAGGAGGAAGGGGCTTGCAATGGTCCCGCCTGCTGCGGGGCGGAGGATGGCGGCCTGGACCCGGACGGTGTCTGCATCCACCTGCCCCTCACGCCCCCGACGTGGGCGCCTCCTGCCGGTGCTTTGTCTTCCAGGCGCAGAAAGGGACGCTTCTGACCCCTCCATCTATCCTAGGTACTCCAAGCCTTGGGGGCTGGATCCCTGAAGTGACCCACCTGCCCTCGCTCCAGGACGTATGGAGCCACTCTCTGGAAGCCGGTGTCCTGTGCCCTGACTTTGGTCCATGGGCCCCAGGCTCTCCCCTGACCCCACACAGCGACCGGGACCCATGACCTCTGCACAGTGCTTGAATTCTGCTGTCACCAGCAGCCTTCCCTCCTGTCCAGCAGCTTGGAGGCCAGCGAGCTGAAGTCCAGCCTACCAGGCGCGACCTTTAGTCCAAGCCCGGCCCCAGGGCATGCTGCCAGGTGCAAACCCCATTCACACTGGGCCCAGACCCCAGCCTCGTGGCTCCCTGCTATGGGTCGCCTGGCTGGGGGGGGTCAGCGGGGAGAGAGGGTCACCCACCTAACCTAGGTTTCTGAGGAGGTCTTTGGGAGGCAGGGTCCTGCCCAAGGGAGATGCCTTTAACCGGGCCTGGAAGGTAAGCAGGAACCGGAGGGAAAAGACTGGGAGCCGCAGGAGCTGGCGCAAGGCCCAGCACTCTGAGCACCCCTCTCTCCCCTCGCAGGACCGGACTCACCCCCCACAGCCCTCTTGCTCAGGGCCCACTCCTGGCTTCCCCCGTGTGAGCCGGTGGACTCCGGCGCCATCTGACTAGCCAGGAGAGCCCTACACTTCCAGGTTCCACCTGGAACCTGCGACCAGAGGGTAACCTGCAGCTACTGCCTGGCCCCTGCTTCAGGTCAGGACAGGGACCCAGGGAGCTGGCCCTCCCTGCCAGCCTGACCAACCCTGGTGGGAAGATCAGAACAGGCTGTGAAGAGGCCAGAGCTCCCCCTTCCCCTCAGCCCCTCCCCTCAACTCCTCCCACCTGGATTCAGGGGAGCAGGGGACTGAGGGGACTCTCCTGCCCCTCTCCTTTCCCATCCTGTCTCCCCCTGGGAAGGGAAAGGGGCTGCAGTGGACAGGGGTTTCTGAGAAGAGGCCACCACCGTCTCTGCGGATTGATTGAAGGCATTGCCGGATGTTTTTAACATTTAATCTTCCAGACACGCGACGGCCAGTCAGCGCCGTCCCTGGGGAAATTTAGGCCGAGGGAGCAACACAGACAGCCCTCCTGCAACCCAGCCGGGCCCTTGGAGGGGGTGGATTGCTGGCGTCCAGCGCCCCCTGGCCGTGCCAATATTTCAGGAGGAAGACAGAGGGCAGGAGTGGTCATGCCTGAGTGGCATGGAGCTCCGGGCCCTCCAGTCCTTAGCAACCTGCTGGTGATGCCCCCGCCTCTGCATGGTGAGGTACAAGACGCCCCTACACGCTGGGGACATTCCATTCTCAGTCCAGGCCCAGGTGCCTCAGCCTAGCCCTCCGCCCCCACCCCGCCTTCAACAAAAGGGGTCCAGTTCCAGCAGCAGGTGAAGAGCCAGCTAGGCACACAGGTGTGCAGGCCCGGGGAACTGCCGCCGCGCTCTGCGATGGCAGGGGGGGCCACTCTGCGATGGCAGGTGGCCACAGCGGGAGCCCCTGGGCCATGACACAGACACAGTTGGAGACCACGCAAAGGCGGGCCTTGTTCTTGTGTTCAGGGGCCATTTACACTCCTCAAGGCCTGGTCTGGCTGGGGAGCGTGGAAGACATGAGTGGAGGCAGGGAGGCCAGGCCTGGGCTGATAGGAACCCAGGCTCAGCCGGAGTCACCGACCCCCAGTTGACCCAGGAAGTGCCCCCCACTCCCCACCCTTCGGCATGCTTTTAACGTCTGTGGGTCTGTTAACTGCCACTGTTAGTGTTCAATAAAGATGAAGCGGGCAAGGCTGGCCCACCCGGGACGGTCCTCGACCGCCCTTGGAGCTGACTGAAGCTGGGCAGGATGGCCGGGTCAGGGCCCTCTCCCTTGCTCACTTGCTGCCAGGTCCAAGCAGAGAAGGATGGGCTGGGTTCCTTCTGGGCCAGCAACAAAGGCACTGAGGTCCCGCCCTCGGCCCTGCCCTCCTTGGGGGTGGGAAGACACTCCCCTTCATATCAAGAAGGACTTGGGGTCCTGAGCTCCCCCAAGCCCAGCTGCTCACCCAGCTTCCTGGAGGCCCGGTTTGTACCCCAGCCAGGGTGGGAGATGCTCAATCAGCAAGTGAGCCCAACCCCATCCAGGGCCGGCCGGCAGGGCAGGGCAGCGCAAGGCCAGCCTCCAGTCTGGAGGCCCTCCTCCTGAGCTCTGAGGGAGGTTCCAGGTTCTGGGGACTGTGGAGGTCACTGCAGTGGCTTTGGGGGACCGGAGAGCTCGGGGGCTGGGTTCAGCAACCTCGGGTGTCCATGGTGGGCTGGTTTCTGTCTGGCCTGCTGGACAGCATGGAGTCCCGCCATCCTCACGGTGGGGCAGAGGGTGTTACTATGATCCCCTTTACGGAGGAGGAAAGGGAGGCACGAAGGGACGGGGTAACTCTCCGGGATAGTCCCCACCGCCTGCCTGGAGCCTGTCCTCACCCCTCTGTCCTGCCGCCCCTAGCCGGCTGGTCCCAGGGCCTGGTCCCGGGAGGACAGCTGCTGAGCAGGGCAGCCAGGTGGTCCTCCCAGGGCAGAAGCAGAGCAGCTGGGGGGCAAGTGGCAGCTCTGGGAGTCCAAGGGAGCTGTGCTCGCTAAGGGCATGCTGAGTGGGGACATTCCTGTCGCCGGGCTGGCCCTTCCCGCGAGCCCCAGGCCGTGACCAACAGAACAGCAGACACTGGCTGCGGCACGTGGGAGCGGCTCTGCTGGGCGGGGGCCCCAGATTGGCTCCGTGTCCAGCCAGGTGGGCTAGCTGGGGTGGGGGTGGGGGGGTGCTGGGTGGATGGGGGGTCTTCCGCGGGCTTGTTTCCCACTGAGCATTTGCTGAGTCACTCAATCCAGTCACCCTGGGGTTGCCCTTGACTGGCTCCCGTTGCCCCGGTGCTATGTCCGGACCTCCGTCCCCGCTCGCCTCCGCCCGCCGCGGCGGTGCCTGCAAGAGCCCCAGCGGGCCCCTCGCCTCCCGCTCTGCCCCCGCCTGCTGCTGCTCCAGCCCCGGGTCTCCTGGCCGGTCCCAGACACGCCGGCCCACCCGCTACGACCGTTAGCCCCG